AAAAAAAAAAAAAAAAAACAATCAAAGTTCTTTCTATCTTGTGTCTTTGTTGTGTCCTCTAAAGGTTTTAGAGTGAAAAAAAAAAAAAGTCATTTGAAACAGCCATCAGGAAATTTCATTAACCTGTAATATCAACAACATACAAAAGGGCTGGAAAAAAAAATGTCTAATCACTGTGTTAAGGCCACATTTAGAAAAAGAAACTCACTGAGCCAGTGAAGACAAACAGGACACTGATGGCACAAAGCCCTGATGTTATTTTGCTATAATCACAGCTGTACTCAGCATATTCTACTACATGTACAACTGATCTGTCAAATCCATGCACAAGTAACATTTATGGCACTTCTTAGTTTTTTTATTAAAAGAGAAATGCATCTTGGTGGCCTACTGAAGATGAATAAATTCAGAAATTTTTAAGGTTCTGTCAAAAGCTTCACCAGATATCAAGAAACATGAAGGCTTTTCTACAGTTATGAAGCTTATTTTCTTTGGTGTTTACAGAATTTTCTTACAGGCTCATTTACATCCTTTGATAATTAAATTCTAAGCTTAAAAACTGGAACTTCATTTCTTTAATCTGTTCATTTTACCATACTACTACTGCCATTCAACCTTCTACCTTGAAAGACTAACATTAGAAATAGTCATTTACATACCATTCTTACCTGTAAGGGTAAGAGTGTATTACTATTGTTGTCTGTTCTGAACACATTATCTTCAATCCAAGATTTTGGAGTCAGTGATGGAGTAGAGCGAGTAAATTTCGGTGGTGCTATGACATTACCAGAAAATGGTTTCTTCAGTGGAGAGATCTGATTCATAGTTCCTGGAATCCCCATGTTTCCAGTTCTACGATGATCTCTGCCATGCATCGCTCCCCAGGACATACTTCCAGTGCCCCAGCCACTGTTCTGATGGTTGCTCCAAGGAGACTGTTTCAGAAGAGGCTGGAGAAAACACAGCTAGTTCAAGTACAGGCATTGCAAGTGCTTCTAATTAAAATCCAATGTAGATACGAACAAATAATACATATGACCTTTAATAAGTGAAATATAGAAAAGTAACAAGATATACCTTGACTAGTTTACAAAAAGTAACAGTCTTATGATCTTGCTAGATTGTAAACGTTTACTCAATGCTATTGGTAGATAAGTTGTCTACCATCTTGTTGACCATAATTTATAATCAATCAAGCAGATATTTTGTGGCAATTACTAAAATCAAATAGCCACTTGTTTTCCCTTCAGAGGGACCTGTATGTACATGATAAGTATGGAAAAAAAATTATGCACTTTAAATTGATGAATTTAACTTTAAGATTATTAAAGATATAAACTACAGTGTCATCTTAAAGCAACCATATTCTGCCAGGCATAACACTACATATATGGTCTTTATTAATTAAAATTTCCCAGCCATATGAGTTACATATTTAGACTTTGGAATTCTGAAACACATTGTCCTAAAATCAAAGTGCGTTGTGATAATGCTTGGTGTAACTCTGTTGCACAGATTAGAAATGCCTTTTGGACAGCATAGGAAATAAGCCATATAAAACTTTTAAAGTATTTTATTCTCGTTTCATTTTGTTTTTATTTCAGTAATTATCCAGGAATTGGTAAGCAATTATCTGCTGTTACCCCTAGGTGGATCCACTGAGATCACCTAACTAGAGAGATCTCCTCTATTTGATTATTCTAGCAGAGGTTTTAATAATACAAGTCTCCCTTTAGTTCATTCATTTTCAAAAGTAAATTACATTTCTATTCATGGTAAGAAAAGTCAAGTGTTCAAAGAATGGAAAATCCACCGAAAGGCTGTAAGTATAGATTTAAAAAATAGTAATAATAATTGTCAATTATCGTATTCCCAATAAGCTTTGTAATTAAGGTTTTGTATTTTAATAACTTGGGCTGAGGTTTAGCAAGGGGAAACACAGAGGGTGCAGTTACCACCTAAATCAATATGTACACGCTTTTAAAGTCAAACCTTGCTTCTTACAAGACATTAAAAAAAAAACTAACCAATAGTACCTATTTTTAAAACTTGTACATGTAACAATTATGATTAAATGCTGCACTTTCCCTTTCCATACAGTTCACAGCTAAAGGACACTGAAGAAATCCTTTCATTCTAGACGGCCTTACTTCCCTCACTAAATTAGATTCAGTGTTCAAAGCTCTCCTCCAGTTACTTAAAATTCCATATGAAAGCTGTGTGATCACTTACACTCCATTACAGGAGTAATCTCTTGTCCAAAAGCAGATAACAGTTAAACTGTGGATCGTGATATATGTTCATTCTGTCTTGTGACTTTAATTTAAAAAAAAAAAATAAATCCCTGTAATTTTCTGTAGTTTGTTTCCAGTTTGAAAAATGAAGACAGTGGAACACAAAATCTAGCTAGTATGTTGTTCAGGATTATGTAAGTCATGGGAAAGTAGAATATTATTTCCAAATTCTATAGTTTTACTCCTTGTAGGCCACAATTTCCTTTCTCAGTAGGTATCAGTCACTCAACAAAAACTATTAACTGTTACTTTGATAACAACTACCTTTGAAAGAGGTTAACCCTTTAAAACTTTAACCAGTCAATGGAAAAAATTATGTGAGTAGGTAAACACTGGTTAAGGTCAAATTCTTCTGTCAATCCTTAACCACATCCCCAAGTATAGAAAATGGCCTTAAACAGAATGTTCACTACAGTGAGGGCTGACCAGATTAAAAACAACAAAACACTTTTTCAATGTCAATTAACCAACCCAGCAACCACACAAGTACTGAGGAGACAGCAAGATGAACTTGAATTAGAAAGACCAGGGATAAACAGAAACCTGCCCCATGTTATTACTAATTACATTACTCAGAGTTTGTTGTTGTTAGGTGCCAGGGGGCCAATTTCTGACTCCTGAGGACCCTGTATGACAGAGTGGGTTTCTTTGGTTGTAATCTTTATGGGAGCACATCGCCAGGTCTTTCTCCCTCAGAGCCCGTTGGGTGGATTCAAACTGCCAACCCTTCCATTAGCAGCCCATCCAAAACCAAAAAAACCAAACTCACTGCCATGGAGTGGGATCCGACTCATAGCGACCCCTCCTTGGATTTCCCAGGCAGTATCACTACAGAAGCAGATTGCCCAACCTTCCTTCCCAGGAGTGGCTAGTGGGTTTTAACCGCCAGCCTTCTGGTGAGCAGTCAAGTGCCCTAGCCACTAAGCCACCAGAGCTCCCAGCAGCCCATCACACATCCCAAAATTCAAAAGAAAAGTTAAACTCAAAAAGACGTACTAAGGCTTCTCTTCAAGGTAAGGCAGAATTCCAGACTTAAGCTTACTTTTTTGTTTCCTTTTTTAAATTGTGATTTGGGTGAGGCTTCACAGAGCATATTCATTTTCCATACAGCAGTTCCTACAGGTTTTGTTTCTTGACACTGACTGCGATTCCCCAGGATGTAGCAGCTCTCCTCCCCTCTCCTCCACTTCGTTACTACCTCTTCCCTTCTTCACTGTGCACTGCGGCCCCTGAGCTCTGTCCCTGTGCAAACACTGGCCTTCTGTTCTGCCAGGACTGATCTGATCGCTGCAAAGAATCTACGCACCTGATCTAAGCGTGCACCTTTATGCCTGTCCGTTGTCTGGCTGAAAGCCACAGGCGTCAGTTCAGTTCCAGACCTGACGGGCAACTAGGGGCCACAGTCTCAGAGGTCTCCCCGGACTCTAGCAGACCAGCAAACCTGCTCTTTTTTTGTCTGTGTGTGATTTTGAGTTTTGTTCCACATTGTTCTCCCACTCTATCCAAGATCTCCTGCACTGATCCCTTTCCAGGTGGCTGACAGTAGTAGTAGTCGGGTCAAGCCACTTTTTACTGCTTGTTTTTTTTTTTTAAAAAGTCCACAAAATAGCCGCCCTCCCTGCAACACAAGCCATCTTGGAGCATCTCCGTTTCCATCAGCTGAGCTGTCACTAACAGTTTCTGGTTTAAAGTCATCCGTCTGGCAGCTCTCAAAGGACGCGGCCCCGGTAGGAGGCAGGTGGTCCGCGGGCGCTGCCGGGCTCACACCGGCCCCACGGCGGGGAGCGCGGCACTGCCCACAGGCTGAGCCGGCGGCCACGGCACTAGGAAGCCGGCCGGTCCGCCGCTGGCTCGGGCCTCGGAGGCCAGGTCTCCCGCCGACGCAACAAACTAGAAAGAGAAACAGCCTCTCCGCCGGACTCCTCACCGGCCGCGGCGGAGAACCACGGAATCCCGCACGCACCCTCTCCCGCCTGCATCTTCTTCCCGCCCGAGGTCGCTTCCCACGGCCGCACCCGGCTGCC